GTTTAGACTATGGCTCATTTGGAGTGGGGTGGGGGCTCTCAAAACAGAAGGCTGTCAGTGGTCCCGGGGATATTTGGGGATTATAGAGATGCTCTAGCGTTTCTTATTGATGTTAGATCCGCTTGACAAGGTCGTCAAGATTACTATAGTATGGGACGGTTATGATCCTCGTGTAATATGTCTTCCTATTGCTTAGAATGTTTTTTAGGATCGACTTCCGGGTTGCCAGCAGTGCGGATTCAGCATTGCGATGTTTGAATTCAGCGAAAGTCTTGCAAGGCTACTGAGGCAGTAGGATTTTCTGGCAGTCTTCTGAGTAGCAAAGGTGCTCAATGTGGGCTTGGAATGTGCTATGATGGCCCCAGAGGAATGTATTCGGGTCATGTAGGATTCATCAACGTTGAGGGGGGGAGGGGGGGTTGGGAATTGAGCCTAAGTATTGATAATCATGAGACTGGCAGCAGCCATGACCAGGAAAAGTGATCCATAAGTAATTTGAATGAATGGACATGATGATTATGGTTCTGACTAGCACTGGAAACTGACTTGATTGTCAGCAATGGTACCGAGGAGGGCCTCTGAGCCCAAATCCCCAAGCCAAAGCAATAACAATGGCAGCGCAAGCACCTGCAAGACAGCTATGACAGCTATGGAATGCCCTCTGTGTCTTTTTGCTAAACGCAGGCGCCGAAAGCCCTCACGTACGGAGTAGAACCCGGCACCTCAGTGATGAAGCCACAGTCAGGCGTGAGCTCTTATAGTCTAAACTCCAAGTATCCCACTTAATAAGCTCCATAATAGAGAATCACATGGAAAAGAACATTGAAAAAAAATAGTCTAAACTCCAAGTATCCCCCTTAATAAGCCCGAAAATGGAGAATCACATGGAAAAGAACATGGAAAATGAAATGGAAGCTGGGGTTTATAGGGATATATGAGCTATAGTCTAAATTCCAAGTATCCCTCTTAATAAGCCCTATAATGGAGAATCACATGGAAAAGAACATGGAACATGACATGGAGACTGGGGTTTAAAGGGATATGTGCTATAGTCTAAACTCCAAGTATCCCTCTTAATAAGCCCTACAATGGAGAATCACATGGAAAAGAACAAGGAAAATGAAATGGAGACTGGGGTTTATAGGAATATATGAGCTATAGTCTAAAATCCAAGTATCCCGCTTTATCACCCCTATAATGCTCCCCTATATGATCCCCTATATAGCACACTTTAAGGAGTTCAGACTACAGCTCACATCAGAGGAGCTCCCTGTAGCGGAATTCGGGAGATGTCTCCTCCCTCCGTAAATCTCAGCCTTAGGGTTGAGGGTTTAGGGTTAAGGTTTAGGGGTTAGGGTTTAGGGTTTAGGGGTTAAGCCTTAGGGTTGAGGGTTTAGGGTTTAGGGTTAAGGTTTAGGCGCAATTCCCAGTTTGTACCCTAACCTGTTCAACAGTGAACTTCAAACACGGACCCCCACCCGAACTTACTTGCAGAATGACTAATCATGTCCTTGGCACCCTTCAACCAGATATCCTGGAACCATGATCCCTCATCCAACCCCGCGGGACCACGGGCCACTAAACTAAACCCTGAACCCCAATCTCTTAACCAGGTTGCTTGTCGAAAGTTAGATTACCTCGATAGTATGTACATAACATGGGTACTTGTTGCAAAGCTCAGGCAAAAAGCTAATGAGCTGGTTCCCTTATCATGCGAAGGAAAGTAAGGTTCCTTGCCATGTCACATGTACATACATATATATATATATATCCGCATTTTCATATGTATACACATATGTGTGTATGGAGTGCCTAACGGGGGAGACATCTGATACCTAAACCCTAAACCTGAGACCCTAAACCCTAAACGCTTAACCTTTAACCCTAAACCCTACACCCTCCCTTGAGGCATGGAGGTGCCCGGAGAGCGCGAGATGACGAGCCTGACGGGCCACGATCTGATGGATGGGGCAGCGGTGTCTTCAGGTTCCTTAAGACATGTAGGGTTTAGGGGTTCAAGGGTTTAGGGTTCCTTAAGCTGGCCTTTGGTTAGCTGGGAAAGAAAGATGGAAAGTACCATAATGGGTTATATAGGATGTAGAGCGAAGGGGTTAGGATTTACAAGCAGTGGAAAAGAAAATGGAAACGACTATAGTGGGTTTTAGAGGGCGGGGCTATTGTAAGGGTGCATTTTAGTTCTTTCCTAGCTAACCAAAGGCCAGTAAGACTTGTAGTGCTCAGTGTTTGAGGCTTAAGGGCTAGAGGGTTAAGGGCTAAAGGTTTGAGGCTCAATATTTGGGGCTTCTGAACAAGGGTTTTAGGCTTAAAGTTTAGGGATTAGGCTAAAGGTCTAGAGCTTACTGTTAGGGCTATGTCAGAAGACATTGGCTCCGTTTTGCTTTTGGGCTGCTTGTGATCAGAACCTGAGAATTCTACAGGTTTGAGATCTTGTTTTATGAGTCTTACCCTGGCCTTCTAGCACGTTTATATAGAAAAGACCGATGCACCATATCCTGGCGTGGCAGTAGTCTCATTATTCAGCTTTGAACATGGCAAGGAGGTATTGCAGGCATGATCCCCGGGATCCTGAGAGGAACGGTTGCAGCATTCTGGTAGGGTTTTTGTCGATCATATTCAGCAGGGCTTTTGCAGAGATAATCATGAAGCACGAAGGGGTGCGTCATGCATCGGGAGGACAAATCGTCACAGTGATGGCCCGCATTTACATTCCAAATCCCCAAAAGAAACTTCATGGACGTCCCAAATGCCCATACTACTCGCCTTTTTCAAGAGGCCATCAACTGCAAAAGTATGGCTACTTGGAGGTCGCCCCTAAATCATTATAGGGACCTCCAAAATGGTACCCCTAATTTTGAGAAACCCTAAACCCTATATAGTAGCTTCCAGTTTATTTTCCATTATCCACATCCTCTGCAGGCCCCGTAGAAGAGCCTCCTCGAACAGCTGGAGGCTGCTTGGTGTGGTCCTAAACTCATATGAGTAGTATTTTATTTGGGGATACCATGGTACCCATTATAGAGTAAGATTCTATCCTCTTTTTGGGGTATAGTATTTTATGTAAGGAATATTATCTTACTAGGTTCAACCACCAAAAAAACGCTACTCATATGAGCTACAGTCTAAGTAAGCTCCTTAAAGGGGATTATGTAGGGGAGTATTATAGGGAATCTAAGGGGGATACTAGTTCAGGCTACAAATCATATAACGTAGAATATATATAGGGGGGTATACTAGGGGAATGGAAAGGAAACATGGAAAGTACCATAGCATGTAAGGCTTTAAGGTAAGAATGCAGAATCCGATGGAGAAAAAAAGGGAGAACGACTGGGAAGCTGGGTTCATAAAGGGGGTGTTATATGGGTGGTTGTCAAAATTATGGTCCCCTTTTGGGTACCCTAAATATTAGGGGCCGTATGATAATAGGGATCCAAAAAAAGGGACCGTAATTTTGACAACCACCCATATAGGGATTAGGATACCAAGAATGGAGAATCAAATGGATAAGAACAGGGAACATGAAATGGAAAGGACTTTCTAGGGCAGATAGGATTTAAGCCCAGTTTTGGAGCAAAAGCTTTGTTAGGTGTAACGGAAGCATGTTGTATGAGCTATGGTCTGAACTCCCGCTATCCCCCTTAATTAAAAAGCCCTATAGTAGCTCCCTATATAATCCCCTATATAACACCCTTTTCTTAGAAGTTTAGACCATGATTAGTTCATATAGGGGTACATCTCGGAGTTCGTAGGGTCTAGGATTTGGAGAAAGGGTCCTGAAAACTATGGATCCTGTTGCTGTGATTATTATGAAGGTTCCTGGCAGGTAGCCTGTCAGGGTCTCTCCGGGAAACTGGTGTGATTTGTGCTGCGCTGCCACCCCCGAAAAATCCCACCTCCAGGGAATGCGTGCGTTTGCAAAAGAAGGGTCACTCCATATTTTGCATCAAGCCTCCGAATTCTTCTGGCGGTATATGCATGAACCTGGTCTCACCCCGAGTTAGGCTTTGAGGTGGACGGCTGCGTCTTCCAAGAATGTTGAGTGCTTTAGGGGTCAAGGCACTTGGCTTCGTGTCTAGAATGCGAGGTTGAGTATTGGGGTGAGGCTGGCGGAAACAGTGCTTGCAAAGTTGTTTGCTGCGAAGGTTGAAGGCATGGGTAGGTAGGAAAATGACTGCTCGAGACCCTCGTAGAAGCTAAGGCTTCAAATGGCCATCGAGCGCTGAAATGGCTGTCAACCATTCGCTAGTATGGTACCTCTGGAGTGGCACCCAGCGTTGAAATAGTGTCAATCCCACACCTTCTCCTGCAGCCACTCACCAGCCCAACAAATGAGGCTTGAAGGGCCAATGCCATAGGGGAAGCAGCATGATCGCAAAAGCTTGAAGTCCTGGAATCTCCAGTCAACTTCAGGCCCTCAAATCCCTAATCTCCCAACCACAAACAACCACAAATAAGGCGACACCGAAGAGATGACACCCAACGCAGCTGACCGGGACCTCGACAATGAGCATCTGAACGCAGAGAGCCCCAGCAACAACGCTGAGGACAGGTTCAGCCGATGATGTGGGGGATAGCATTATGCGATGTGCACTGCGATCCTGATTCTGAGACACGCCCATTGAGAGTGACATGTTCTGAGTACAAAGCCAGTTGCGTCTCTTGAAAAGGGAATGCTGATGCAGTTTTATAAGGTTGGGACCCAGGCTCTGTTATGATGAAAGTATGATGAAAGAGCACGAAGTGTGTTTGAGGACCGCAGTCCCTTAGAACGGTTACTACAGACTAGGAGATTCGTAAAGAGACCTAGTCTGGTAAGTTCCCCTTGCAGGGATTTCTGGGAGCAGGCCCCGAAACGGATCGGGGTCAAATCAGGTGCTTTTTTTTTGGTACATCGATCAAGAGGAAAAGGCAGTAATAAGGTCTTTGGCTCATGTGGTATCTCTCAGACGTCGAGACTCAGGCGTGGTGCAAAGTCGAGAACAATTTCAAAGCATGCAATTGCAAAGCCCAACTCATGGCAGTCGATTACCAACAGAAGCCATTTGAGAAACATCGGGGATGAGCCTCTATGATGACACTCCGCTTTCCTGTGGTTTTAAAAAACTGCAGCTGTTCTTCTCTGTTTTCGGAGTGCAATGATGATTGTCGTTCTTGGCATTTGTATGTGTGATTATTGTATAACAGTTTGGTCTACCTTCCTTGCTCCATTGTGCAGGAGTTCAACGTTGTGCTGCAGAAGCATCCGGGAATGAGGCCGATATTTTACAGTGAGTGTGTCCCGCCACTTTGTGCAGTCTGTCTAGACATGCTCACTGTGAAAAAACTATCTTCCCATTGACTCGCAGTGCAATTTAAGTATCACTGCTAGTTACACATGATTATTCCAGAACAGCAACAAGCGAGAGTTGTTCAACAGAATCCCTATACAGTCCCCGAGAAGGAGCCCAGGAATCCCTCCCCCAAGTCCATCCATATCCCCAGGGTCCCTGTGCCCCCTCTTGCGTGACAAACTCCCAAGTGTTATGCTATAGACTCTGTCTACTCTAAGATGCCGTCAGGCTCGGAATGGAGTGCGTTCGGGTGGCAAGGGCCTAAGTGCAGGGCAGCTTGTGTCCAAGTACTGCCATACTAGGATTATTATATAGGGGCCCGAATTTACTTACCCTTATGTACATCAAAAATACATATGTTTTTGAAATACGGGAATGGAAAAGAGAATGCAAACTGCTAATTACGCTTTAGGGTCAGAGGTTGAGACTATTTCGTAGCACGCTTTACGATGCTAGGGTTTTCAGGATGGTTGGCACAAAGAAGGATTTCCGATAAACCGGCTTGCAAAGATTCAAGAAAGTGTGGCATTTGATGCATTCAAATCAATGTCAATTTCAGAAATGCTTGACTTCTGGATGGATCCTGATCGCTATGAGTGCGAATCCAGCATCCTTTCAAAACACGGGACTTCATAAGCCTGTGGGGTTTACTTGTGGCGGGGCCCACCTATGAATACATCGTCTCATGATTTAGTCGACTTGAGGTTGACGTCTCCGCGTAACCTTTGAAAGCTTGTGTTTCGTGGCGCAGTTCATTCTCAGTACACAGTGCCGGCATGGCAAAGGGCGACGAAGTCGTCGTCGCGCACGTCGCCGAAGGCAAGCCTCTGCCATGCATGCAGCACGTGCAGGTCCAGGGAAAGGGGTACCGCTTATAGGGCTTAAGGGGTAACCGGCATGGAGATCAAGGGGCAACATACACAATCAACGAGGATTGTTGTAGTTGAGGCCTGAAAGCCGCAAATATGTTTTCTGGGTTACCGCAGCCCTGCCGCTTGAAGAGTACAGGCATGTGATGCATCCGGTGCGTCCTGGTACTTGATGAAGAGCCTCTCCCTGGAACGAGACCCTCAAAGACCCTCCATGTTCATCTTCCGCCACAGAAAATTGCACCCATGTGCTTTCAGGCATGGTGGTCAACGAGTGGAACGCAAAGAACCCCGACCAGACCGTCAAGGTGCCAAGCTAGCATCTTCCACTGAGGCAGTTGGAAGCCAGCATCTCTTAACTTTGCCACGGGCAGTCACAGTCCAATGAGTCCTGATCGTGGCTGTCTTGGGCTTTCCGAAGCTGGTTGGTGGAGTTGTTGCCTGTCCTGGTCGTTGGTGCAGGTTGGAGATGTTGTGCGGGCGGTGAATCAGATCAGCAGGAACCTCAGATGCAGATCGCAGATGGAATCATGTGGAAAGCATCCAGTCAGGCTCGCATATAGCATGCACACAGCTAGCAGTTTAGTATCCTCAACCGCTACAGTATCAGTCATTTCGTCGCACTACTGATGGGCTTCCTCTTGGTCTCCTCGACCCTTGCCAGCTCTACCCGTTTACCTTGGAATGTTCATGTAGGACTTGCTGCATGATGACAGATGATGTGTGGCAACTGCCATTTTTTGAGAAGAACACTGTGCGATCACCGTTGGGCTGTTACATGTGTTCTTGAACCGCCACTCTGCATTCGGGCTCACAACATAGGGCCAACCTTTCCACACATTGGCACCCAATTTACTCGTGGTTTGTCTTGCCCATACGAAGACGCTGACGCTCATGTTGCCTCTGTTGCACTTGCAACCACTACCCATGCTGCTGGCACACGAAGGCACACGAAGATCAACTTCAGATGCTTGTGGTGCAACCAGAATGCCCAGTGCAGGTTCCTTCAATACTTGCACGCAACATCAACGGATCTCCACATCAGATGGATGCAGGCTGCCTGCCCCCATCAGCAACATTACAACCCCACCGAACACAACTCTGGTCATCACAAGCTTTCGCTTCCTTGCTGCGTGACTTTGCATCACCGGGAGCGGCAGGTCCGGATGACGTGCAGACAATGCTTGCAGAGCTGAGGACTGCGTGGTGAAGTCTAAAACAGATGGTCCTCAAGCCCATGAGACCTTCCTCCCAATAAAGACTTGGTGCTATGTGGCATATGTAATTAGGTAAGCTGGACCCGCAAGTGTAGCTAAACATGTTGGCTCGCACAGGGGCTTTGTCTGCTGTGGGGGCTAATTCGGCATACCCAAGCAAGAGACATAAGTGGGAGATTATTAAATTTACCAAAGAGACCGCACTTTACTTAAGCCACCCCTGCAAGTGCATTAGCATACGTTGAACAAACACGCCTTTAGATCCCTCAGAAACTCCCGAACTCAAACTGCCCAAGTCGCTGCATCGTGGCCAACATCTCAAACACGGAGCTTGGAATTCGTACGACTAGATCCGCAAAGTGTACAAGGATGAAGGAACACCTCCCTTCCCATCAGCAGTCCAAACACGATCCTCCAGCTTTACAAGAGACAACCCCAAATCCTGGATCCAAAACTCGAAACCTCTTCTATCCCTGCATGACATCACTCACTCCTCATCGAATTGCTGCCTTAACATACGGCCTCAAATACACGTACACACACATATACATACAAATGCGCACACACTTACAGTACATATATACATGTATATATATATATGCACATGTATACACGCGCATAGTGTACACATATATATATATATACACACATACTTTTTATCTTCTTCTATAGCTGCCAACCGCACCGCTGTCTTGGCTGTTTCAGGACAGCCGTCGTCTTGAGCCTTCGCTTCGAGCGCGGCCCACGCGAAGTCCCAAAGCCAAAGGCGCCTTAGGGTTTATGGTGTGGGGTTTAAGGTTAGCGTTTAAGGTTTCGGCTTAGGGTTGGGGCCTAGGTAGGAATCATATGTAAGGTAGGGTTATAATTATAGGCTTATGTGGGGTTGTATGGGTTTATAGGGTATATCGGATTAGGAAGCCATATTGCCCCAATAAGGGATATAGACAGCTGCGGTTATGCTTGGTTACATGGGATGATTATCCTGGGTTACGACCCCAGTATCGGGAGTATTGGAGGACCATCCATGAGGAGCACAAGGATCATAATTATTGCAGACATTTTCGGGTATGTGTTACCGAACGTTCGAAGTACAAGTCGGCATCATGATTAGGACATGTGTACCGAGACTTCGAAGTTCAAGTCAGCAGCCGGATCATTGTAAGACATTCAGGACATGTACGCTATGAAATCAGCTTTGAATCTAGGAAGTTTTAGTCAGGCATAGACTAGATCATGGACAGGAGGACGATGGCAGCTCAACGTCGAAAATCAAGCCGCCAGGGCCCAGGTTCCTGTGCTCCGCCTTTTTGCTTGACTTGTTGGTTCTTAGCAGCGAATAAGGGAATATTTTATCTAGGTATTCTATTCCCTCATTCCCTACTAAGAGCCAGTAAATTGACAGCTGGAGTATAGACACCTCTAGCAATCAAGAGCGTTACATTTCAGCTTACCATGCACGAAGAAAATATTATTTTGGGAAAGCGGAAAGGTCTGTACTAACAAGTGTGGCCGAATTCCAGGGGCGAATGTAGCATGTAGGGAGCATATATGGACAGCGATGCTGGCACGAGATTCGGATATCAGGCATTATATGAAGAATGCTACCCCGACGGAGGTACGTGCAGGTTGACCAGAAGCTAGGCAAGTTGAAAGACCCTTGATGGCCCTCAGTTATAGTCGGCTTCACAGAATCCATGGAGGCACAAGCGGATGATTTGGCACTTTGCATCCTAGACCTCCTGCTAGTTTTGCACTGACGGGCACATGCTCTGGTGCCTGAGTTCCGGCGGCGACCTCATTCGCATCGCGCAGAAGCAGCTCATGGAGGATGGTGGTTGCCAGCCATCCTTGCCTGGATAGCCTGCAGATGTGATTGGAAATCCATGATAATGATATTTCAGCGTACGAATTTTCTAAAAGATTCTTAGTTTACCTGACATGGGCCCAATGATCCCTTTGACATAGATCGTGTGTGCACCCTCTAAGGGCCCCCAATTTAATACACACACACACACATCGTATGTCCTCGACTTACTGGTGCATGGTAGGGAATAAGGTAATGTAATTCCAACACAACCCCTATACAACTTATTCCCGTGTTCCCTACTAGCCCCCAGTAAGTCTATTGTAGAAGGCGGCCTGCTGCTTGGGCTTCAGGTTCAAGCCAAGATGCTTAAGGGGTAGTGCCTCAGAGAGTTGCGGGCAAGGGTTACTCTGAACGTGGTTCTGCAGGCCTGACTTTTGGAGCTAACATGAGCATGGTGTGGCGACTGTAGATTCCGGTTCCACTGTTCATTTAATAAGGAAAGGGAGAGGGGCCAGAGCAGGAACGGCTAAATTTTTCATGGTCGCACGTTTTAGAGGTATAGCGAAGTCGAGCGAGAGAAAAAGGGCAGAAGCAAAAGCACACAAGATAGACACAGCTTTCTCAGTCCACATGTAGCGGTAAATGTCACACCACCCCGTCCCTGCCCAACCACGAAGGATATAATGTTGCTTTTACCACTGAATCCGCCAAGCAATCCCCACCCAAGCTGAGATCCTAATTCCGGGAGCACCCGTGGCTCCAGGTACCGGCAGGTTGCATTAACTAATGGCTACCCACGACAAATTTGATTTGGAACCAAATGAAGCCCCCTTTTAAAGGACAGTCGCGTCCACAGTACAGGACTTCACAAAAATAAAGGGACTCTACTGGGAACCCCAAACCGGGAACCTCAAGAATATAGTAGGTATATAATAGGAATATACCTACCAGGGTCCTTGTATTCCATCATATTCCTGCAATATTCTTGGGGTTCCCTATTTGGGGTTCCCAGTAGAATCCCTTTAAAAATCTCAGGGTTCGGGGCAGGGTCTAAGTCGGCTGGTGACCTACCATATACCTAATCGAATATAACCCTATGTAAGACCACATAGACCAATGTAGCCCAGATGAGCTGTAGTCTAAACTCCTAGTATACCCCCTAAAAACCCCTATAATGATCCCCTATATATAACCCCCTTTAAGGAGTTTAGACTATAGCTACTATACTATAATATACCATATTATAGCCTATTATACTATAACATATAATCCCTCTGCAGCCCCAGCAGCAGGTGGGTCGGACCATCTCCGTCTTGCCCGTCTTCTCCAAGGTGGCCTCCGCCTGACCTGCGAGGACTTTTACTGGTTTAGGGATTAGGGGCCCTAAACCCTACTGCTTAGTTTTTTTTAGGCACTCCTTTAAAGGTTCAGGGTTTAAGTTTTAGGTCTCCACAGCTATTGCCGTTCCTACTGTGTAGGGTTTAGGGTTTAGGTCTCCACCACTACTGGCTCTGAACTGATGTCACATCTCCCTCGAATTTGTTCCAACGTCCCCAAAGCGGAACTGCGCAACAAATCAAGTTGCCCCTACCCATTACCATCTCTTGGCCAGTTGATTGCCCCACACAATCCTGCCAACAAAGCCGAACGAACAACTTATCAACTTGTGAACCCGACCCCTATGCAGTTCACAGAACCCTAGACAACCTCTAACCCCTGACATAACCCCAGCTTAGGGGCCCTGGCTCCCGCTTCATACTCCACTAGATTTGCCTTTTGACCCTCCATGATTGATTGCTATTAGGCCCGTACACAGTACGGCTATGGAATCTTCCACCACACAATACGTACATATATATATATATTTGTATACATGCGAATATATCTTGTACCCCCTATCAAAGTGGTGCCAGATTTCCTGCATCCACCAGCCCATGGCCTTATAGCCTTCCTTCGGGGATCTCCCAAAACTCTAAACCCTCAACCCTAAACCCTCAACCCCTAAACCGCCAGAAGATGGCTTGAACGGAGCTAAGGCACGCTTCATAGCCAGGAGCTGTTCTCGCTTGGCCACGACCTTGGCCAAGGGTTCCATGTGCTGCACCTGAGCGACACGGGCTTTATGCGGAGGTTTCCATGGCCCTATATTGCTTTAAGGGTCCAAGTGCCCAGGCATCATATACTTCCCCAGAACAATTTTGGGCTCTAGCGGATTTCTACCAAAAAACACCTCTTGGGCCCAGACTGTAAACGCCACAATCTACGTTTTCCGCGTACTCAGAAAGGCATCTAGTGACCAGTAGCGCTGCATCGTGCAACCGTTTCCCCTTGTAGCTCGTCGGAAGAAGCGCGCGTGAATGCCTTCAACAATTTTGTTGGGTCTGGGCCCCCTTCGGAAGCATTCATATGAGTCAGGGACATCACATCCTACGCGGTGCTGATGATTGAGGTGCCTCCCCATCACAGGCCCGGAATTGTGCATTCGCTCCTGGTTCCACAGAATGGGCTTTTAAAGAAGGATTTTGGGAACCCCAACAACTCCCAAAGATTGCACTAGGATCTGAGAAAAATCATGTCGTGCCTATACTGCGGATACCAAAACCCACTTCTGGACTAGCTCATTCATTACAAGACTCCTACAAACTCTACGAGAAGTAAAGGGTTCACAATAAGCACCTAGGTTTTAGGGTTTTAGGGTTTAGGTTGCAGCTTCCCTTTCAAAGGCCATGAGCTGCCACACTCAACGCATTTCTGACATCCCACAATTTTGGAAGAGGAGTGTTTGGGACCGTTTGGGACTACCCATGTTGCTGCAAACCCAGAGTGTGGGTAGGGTCGGGCCTACAGGACACCAAGAGGTAGACCCCAAAGCCTGAAAAATGTCGGGATGTCCTCCTCAACAGTTGGTGAACTCCCACCTCGCATTCAAGCCCTGCGGGACAAACCCCAAACTCCGCGTGGTACCTGGCTTTTGCAGAAGTGGGCACCACGTGCGTTTCGAGTACGTCCTCTGGGGAGAAGATCTTCCCAAAAAACCTCAGCCATTAGGTTTAGTGTTCGGGATTTAGAGATGTGTCGGGTTCCATAGGTGCTGATGCCTGGGCTTGGGAAATGAAAAGATGTTGGCAATAGATTTTCAGGGACTGGGGGAATCAAAGAATACCTCTCTGAGATTTGAACTATGGACCCCAAATCTGTGCTCTTAGCAACTTTGCACGGCTCCTCAGACTTTAGAGACTGACTGCCTTTATGACAGACAGAATCTAAGCTAAAAGCTGATTGAGAGTGTGCTTAGGGAGTGAGGGCCTTAGCCATGCGAAGGACGGGCGGCTTGCATAAACCTCAGAGTTAGAGACTGACAGACTGTCAGGGCCTGTGGGGGTCTGGGCTTCAGGTTTTAAGGTGAAGAGAAGGCCCAGGCGTTTTGCGGGCAGGCATACACTTTTTTTGATGTGGCCAAGGGTTTCAGGGATGTAGCCCTCAAGATGACCCTAAACCCTAAACCCTAAACCGAGCCCCCTCATGACAGAATTTTTTGTAGGGAACCCTTTGGGACTACTTCGGTTCACATAGCGGCCAACCCAGCGGAACCCTTTGGGGCGTTACGGCCTCATGGTCACAACCCAAAAGGCAATTATTCTACATACTTTTGGGGTTCAGGTAAGCCCTAAATCCAAGAATCCTAAACCCTAAACCCTAAACCCTACCCCGGAACCTTTGATTTTGGGTGTAGGGTTCGTCAGTCCACTGGAGGATGAGTCGAAGTCGAAGCTTGGGGGGATTCTCCGGAGGGGGGCGCAGCAGGGATATTACCCTAAGGGTCCAAGTATCTAATAATCATCTACTTACCCAAAACCTGTACTATAATTCCTATTACCCACAACCCCAAGTACCTAAGTATTGGGCACTTGGACCCTCTGGGTTAGATCATGAGGATTACATTCAGGTTCAGGGGTCCCTCTTGAGGATTCAAATTTGGAAAGGCTAGTCAGGGGTTGTCATCGGAGACTGTCAAAAAAACGCCCCGGGGCTTCCCAATAGCTCCAATAATGGAAGTGAATCGTATCTCCCCTGGCACCCCTAAGACTATAAGACAAAGTTGACAAAAACCGAGGACTCTCTCATGCTGCGCTGGGGTCACGGCTGCCTCAATCGTGCATCCGACCTCCACTCTTGTGGGATGTCCTCCTTGCATCAGGGCCAGAGAAGCCGAGGAGGTAGACTGGGTAAGGGGATTGGGGTAATATAGGGATAATGGAAAATAAAATGGAAACTACTATAATGGAGAATCAAATGGAAAAGAAAATGGAAAATGAAATGGAAACTAGGAGCCATAGTCTCATAGGTTTGGATTTTCAAAACGAAAATCACAGCCCTCAATTACCTTGACTCTATCCGCGGACATGGGTGCTGGAAGTGTTGTCATGTCTGAAACAACCTCTCCCCCTGAGTACCTAGAGAGGCCTGGATCTTCATGAGATCTTCTTCACCAAAAAGAAGACATACCACGGTTGATCACGAAATATAAAAGTGTGGGGGAAAATGAGGCGCTCTGAGGGAATTGGGGGAGATGAGGAACAAAGGGTATTCTTGAGGTCCTTAGCAGGATCTATGGATATGTCTATGGAATGCCGTTATAGAATTCCTTCCATCTACTCATTTACGGAAACCTTGAGCATGCGGAGTCCGAGCTGCCTCTCAACCCTAAACCCTAAACCAAAATCCCTGACCCCTAAATTCCAGGCCCAGCTGCCACCATGACCGTAGTCGAACGTGGGGCAGGGAGGCTCTCAAGCCACTTCACACGGAGTCGAAGGAAATTGTCCTGGCCGGCTGTGTCAGTGGCGGTGGCGGCGGGGGCGGCGGTGGAAGTAGTACTAGGTGACTAATAATAACCAGTCACACTAGTCGTACGGCCTGGCCTTTGTGGTCCAGTACGGATGCGTGCCTAGCTAGCTATGCCATACGTGGTGACGCCAGGACTGCCGACCCTGTCAGGAAATCGGTTTTCGGGTCAAAGCCCAAGACGTTTTTTGAATGCGGTTTTCAGGCT